ATTTCACGAGTATACCATTTGATTACCTATTAATATCATGGGTGACGAATTACGTTAGCAATCTTGGATTTTTGACATGTTTATCCTGGATCATATCGATCGAGAACTCCACTCTCTCAAATGTTTAGACCTTAAATTTGGCTTGTAAAGTTCAGAATTTTTCAGACTCTTTCGGCAAAATACCTGTTAGAGTCCTTCTTGATGTTCTCTTGTGTGTTCAGGTTTTCTAAAGCGTCTTTTTGCGCCCTGACATCTTCATTTACGGCATTTTAAAATTTCGTCGCCATCTTGACACTGAGACGTACGGAAGGTTGCCATGGCAATTTTGTAATTTCACATGTGAAATTTCAAATTATCGCTGAAATTTCACGCCAAAATTAAGGAGTAATTCGTCACCTATGAATTGTTTTTCAAAGATCGTTTGGATTTGGAGAAAATCGACAAAACCAATTTTCGTGGTCGGCGACTTGAGAACAACCAAAATTTAAGGCAAAATGAGGCGGTCTCAAAACTTCGCTCGCACGCAAAAACGAAGAAAGCGCGGTAAAATTTTCCCCGATAAATCAATTTATAAAGGGTTTTAGCCCTAGGGCGGTTAATTCTTATCTTATCGATAAAGTGGAAGGGGAACATTTTAGGTTTAGTTCTTTTTCAACTGAACGAAGTTCAAGTTTAGGCTTAAAGTCGCGATTTAATTTTTAGGCATTTGCTACAACTTGGTTTTTCCCGAAACTCAAGCTATAAGTTATTTAAACATTGTGCTAAAACATATGTAAAAATTGGCTTGGGTAATTTAATTTGCGCTTCAGACGAACCCTCTGGACTTGAACAAATTTTGAGTGAAATATGAGACATTTTGCACAATTCAACAACGCCTTGCTGTTGCCCAAACGGATCACTTGCTTTTTCTGAGAAGAAATCTGATTTACTTCTATAGTACGATAATTAATTTGCTAACATGCAATTGGAATTAACTTACCTTTATAGTATGGAGCACTTTTTTAACTTTTTCTTCGCTCAAGCTCCAAATTCTGCCGGCGCGAAAAAGTCATTGGAGACAGGATAGCCCTAAAACAGTTGCCAGGTATTATAAGAGAACTTTCCCGTGTGAAATACCTCTATGAGATGGAAAATTCTCCATGGAATTCCACGGAGGATTAGGACATCAATTTCCATGGAATTCCATGGATATTTCTCCATATATTTCCATGGAAAATATTTGCATGGAGGATTAGGACATTTTCCATGGATCTCCATGGAAAAGTTCCGTGAAATTCCATAGAAACTACTCCATCGATTATTCCATGGATCTCCAGGGAGTTTCATAGAATTCACAGGAATTAGACATTTCAAATATCCAGTGAATCAAATGGAATACATAACAGATTTTAGTCCACTGAAATTTATTTAATCAATATAAGGACCGCATAAATCTCTTTTAAAAGATATCAATCAAAAGTTAACATGCTTTTGGCGGAAAATTTGACATACTGTTGCTTAACAAATTAATGTTTACTTGTGACTATATACATGCAGTTTAGAATGCAGCAATCATATTGAAGTAGCTTAAATGAAAAATCTAGATTTAGGTTGCATTCCTTTTAGCCAATCTAAATCCGGATTTTGCGATCTAGAATTCGATTTTTTGTTCCATTAAGGACCAAACCAATCTAAGATTGCAATCCGAACGATCTACCTCTGAACGTGGATCGTTCATCTGGTTTCAGATCTTTACTGTGCTGCCTGTGCGGCCCAGTCATAAATTCGGTTTTTGGTCGTTTGCGACGAAAAACGGCCATCCGGGGGAGGGAAGACACGAGGGTCTGGTGCCGAGAAACGATGTTCTCGCAAATGGTTTCATATGATTTTCTCTTGCATGAACCCTTGCAAGGACACTTTTTGTACCTCGTCTCCGCTCCCCCGGAAAAACCCACAAGGCGTTGCGAACCTTTTGCGTTGTTCGAAGCGATTCGATCATAGGAGTCACTCTATGATTTTTTAATTGTTCGATTTTAAGTCAGTTACAGGCGCGGATCTAGAATAAATACTGACCGATTTCCTCAACGAGCGCCGAAAACGCAAGCTTCTTGGGGGTCCAGGGGCATGCTCCCCCGGTAAATGTTTTAGATTTTAACTCCCTAAAGTCTCCTTTCTCGGGGTTCCGAGTCACTCAGATAGGATATTGGCCAGTTCCATTCACCTTGGATAAAGCCATGCAACTTGGAAAGATTTTTATTTATTAAAAATATATCTATTTAAGGAAAATCTGACCGATTTCCATAAAACGGTGGAAACCGGTGTGGATCCGCGCCTGAGTTAGATGATGTTGGCGCTGGGAAACTCAGAGAAATGCTCACGTTGCATACAAACCCACACGCCGTTCACTGTAGGTTCACACTAAAAGATTACTGTGAGCGTCAGGTTTGGAACGCCGGGGCCGCTTCGTGAACTCAAAGAGAGAATTATCGATCGATGTAGTACATGAGCAATTAAGAAGCACAATTTATGAGCAAAGTATTTCACCAGTTGACGACACTATGGCTGAAGACTTGATTGTAAGCTGTCGTAGTCAGTGAAGCGAACAACTAAGTTGCCGATGAATGTCAGATGAATCCTAATGTTACGCACGTCCATGAGCGAGGGACGCGCCAACTTTGACATGTTAGAATACTGGCCTTTCCTTTAAATATTTCCTTCTATTTAATTTGGTGGTCTAAATTTCGGATACTTAGGATAAAGAAGACACGGACAAAAATAGGAACTCTGAGAATTTCGCACACAAGTTCAAGGCTTGACTTGAGGAAAATAGGAGCTATTATTGACAAGGTTTGGTGACTGAGTAAAGCATACAAGTGTAGCCCACGTCGAGGTTTCAGGGGGGTTGCTTTTGTTTGTATCTGTATCTTGCTAAGCTTTTATCATCAAATTTGTATATGGTTGCTTTGCTCGAAATCGCGCGCATTTACAAGGCCCTAAAGCGTTTTGCTGACTTTCAAGGACCCATCTGTTATAAGAATGCCCAAAATACAGAGATGAATCTCATACAGTAGTTTATTAGATATAATCCGTGTAAAGTTTGCTTATCATTTTCGCATAAATTATGACCTAAATTTGGAAACCGCTGAATTTCTCGAATTGGGTCTTTGCGATTCTGGTGAAACTCTGTTCAGCGCAAGGCACTAATGCGCACTATGTGTAGCCGAGAGATTTTCACGAAAAATGCTGGCAACAGCTGATTTTCGACTCAGACCTTAAAGGAGCGTGGCATTATAACCACGTGACATTTACTCCGATCGCCAAAAATTTTATGTTATATTGTAGATTGATCTATATGTTATCTATTCTATGTGTTAGACTTACGATAAAAGTAAAGGTGGGGATACCAGAGAGCTTCAAAGTAGGATGGTACCCCCTAAAAAAAACTGGGTCGAGTCACCTTAATGGTCATATATTTTTATATGTGATCCTTTTCAAAAGCTTTATTGGATTCCATGGGCTTCCGGCCCTTGCCTCATCCATCTGAATTTTGTGTATGTATTTAATTTAAAGGTGGCAAAATAATAATAAAATATTTTAAAAAGTGTGCGTGAGAACAAGACTCCTTATTTAAAAAAATCGTAAAAGTGTTTGGCGAAAGTGTTTGGCAAACTTTAGTGCTCCTGGGTGTTACGTGTCTAAATAAAGGATTTGGATTTGGATTTGGATAACGAAGTCCTCGGTAAAACGAACGATATTCTTCGCCCCAGTAATAGTAAAATATATGGAAAAGAACTTCGATATAACGAAACCTCGTTATAGCGAACGCATTTTGTCAGTCCCTTGGCCCTTCGTTTCATCGAGGTTATACTCTGCTCTATTTTGTAACCCGATACTCGCCGCTGACTTAATTGATCGTAGTTCCCACTTTCGTAAATGACTTCCAATTCTTCCTAAAACAGAGAAGAATCTCTAGAGTGGCGGAACAGGGAGGGTTCTTGTCGTCACGGGTTCTCATATCGCTGAGATAGACTACTTAGTTCCTCCAGAAGGCCGTTAAAACTTTCCACTTCAATTCCAGATTCTAAAAAGACGTGATGTTTGCTAATGTTTGCTTTCTTTGCCCATTGCACTAATGATAACAACATGTTCCCAATACTGGAGTTTGTCTCCAATCGGCTGAGCACATTTGTCTGATTAACTCGGGTGTTTTCGGGTCTTACATATCCTTCCACTGAAAATCCATAGCTGTTTACTTTAGGGGCAAAAATATTTGGGAATGGTGGTTTAACCATGCAAGCCTGGTTAACATTCCAACACAGAGGGGAGGTATTAGGATGTACATTTTCCAGGAATGTCCGGACGATTTCATTGGCCGATGCACATGCTTCAAGTGGGTTCTTACTTTGTAGAGAAGTCTGGGTACTTATATTTTTTTCAGGGTTATAAGCGTGAGTAACCGGAATTCCTCTGACCACCGCAGACTGGGAAATAAGAGAAGAACTGTTTGACACTCCTGGTGATATGCATTGTAAGAGCTCCCGTCCATAACTTTGTAGTCTTGATCCTAAAAAAGAGGCTAAAGAATTGTTCTCATCCACAGGTAGAGGAAAAGACAATGAAAAACTACCAATCTTTCTTTCTCCATGTGCCACGCTGTCGATAAAGCTGCTCATGTTTGAGGCTTGCTGTGTGATGAGCCGATATGGCATGGTAATCGTGTCCACACATACTCCTAACACAGAACTTGTGTGGTACGATAGGTATGGCTGCAAAGGAAAGCAGAATTGCTGCTTAAAGGGGTTATTTCTGGCTAAAACGTGTCTTTGCATCAACTGAGTTCCACAAATAATTGCCAGTTTTGTTACTCGAGACTATATTTAGGTATTGAAACTGTTTCCTGTCATTTGTCACTATAGATGGCAAGGATGGATATGGACATGTAGATTGAAACTTGAAAAAGAGGACGCAATATTTTCAAGTTTTACAGTAGGACTACTATAACTAATAAAGTGACGCAGAAAAAGAACAGAATCTTTGGTAATTGTATGTCCGTTTGGTGTTCATATCAGCCAGGTTTTACTGTAACAGTTCAAGACACAGAAGAGCACTTACTCCTTACACTGTAAACAAAAAAAAAAACCATTGCAAACTGTAAACTAAAAAACAATCAGATGGTATGATGCTGATTGTCATATTGCAAAATGGAGTACACAACTACTACTAAGTCGACCACAACAGAGCCTTGACAAGATTATTCCAACCTCTTTGATAGTGCATCAGAATATGAATTTTTTCAGTCATTATCATAACTTATTGCTAGTATAAAGTGGAGTAAATAATTCTGATGGTCTTCCCTCTATTTTCTTAAAAAAAATTTTTCTGCAATTAAATAAAAATATAACAGTATACCTTGTAATTTAGCAGAGGAAACTCCCTCGGGGGTCCTGTGTGTGGAACTGCTTCACTAGCAAGAGACAAGGGTATAAATATGTCACTGTGTTGTGATAACTGTCCATAGGATAAAGCTGAGTTTAGAATTCTGTAGGCAGTTTCCTTAGTTGTTCCATCTGGCAATTGAGTTTCAGTCATACCAAATGTAACAAATGACTTTCTTCCATATTCATCCTTGAGCTCTTCAAGCAGATAATTGCACAAGCCTCCAAACCCATTACACACATCAGCAAAGATCTAACAAGACAAAAGCAAAATTAAATGATCAACTGCATCTCTTGTTTTAATCAACCATTCTAGAGTAGCCACCTTTCCACAAATTGATAGCTACTTAAGTGACTCCCAGATGCAAAAACAGCCATTTAAGAACAAATATGTATAAACTGATTTACTCACTGTATTTTGCTTCCTTTTTTCTGTTTGTTTCTGAGCATTTTGTTTGCATTTTTGATTAATCAGTTATGATTACCTAAAGCATTTCAAAAACTAAAGAGATACAAGATTACACTCTTTCTTTTAAAACCAATGTCCCATTTCATGGGCCATGCAACTATGTTTTTTATAACCACCTGATCTTTATAACACCCACTCACCTCTCCTTAATTAAGGCGGCCAGTGTGGAGAAGTTAGATTAGTACTAGCATCAGAAGGGGTGTTATTCTTTATTGAGGAAGTTTACAGAAAATAAATACTTTTTTACCAAAACAAAGGAGGTGATCCTATTATTGGGAAAAGTAACTTCATTCTGTCTAACTGGGCAACTAACCATTGAAAAGGAATAAATTATAAATAACCTTGCAGAGCTAACTTTATATTTTGAAAAGTGCATAAATGGTTCTGCAAGCTAGCAAGTCTGCAAGCCAGCAAGATGAAGTCCAGTCTCTGTTCTTATACATTACCTAGAGTAAGCAGGTATGATGGACTTATCTTGCCTGCCTAGTTCTAACATGACAAAAAATTCTTTGCCACAAACTTAAACCCTTATGGTCTGTGGCCACACTTAGTGAGTTATTAAACCAGGTTCGTTATTGAATAACCTGGTTAAAAAAGTTAAACCAGGTTAATTTCTATGAGGAGCCGAAATTAATAGACTTTACAAATTCCCTCTGATTTACGAGGCTTTGCTTAGTCGATTGCTTTTCTTCTAATGTTCAATTCAGGCACTCAGGTTAGAGTTAATGGCCAAATACTGATAAAAAGAGGTTGACTTGCAGCAAGTCTAGCATGAACTTGGATGTGAGGCAAAAGAATTAAGTGCTTTGGTGCATGGTAAAGCCTAAATTTGGAAAATTCTCAGTGTGGGCAAAGGTGATTGATTAACTGATAACGTTAACCAGTGGTAAACTACCCCGCAAGGTGGTTTAAGAAACCTAATCTGGTTAAGAAAAGCTTTTGTTCTCACTTCATTTGTACATTTGTATAACCCAGCTAAAACCGGTTGCACTCACATTCTTTTTAAACCGGTTCATTTCAATATTAGTTGATGGCAAATAACTCAGTGAAGTCCCTTAGTGCAGCAGCAGCCATTGACCAAGCTTACAAGGAAAAGATGGCTGCATGTTACCCAAGTTCTGCTGCCTGCTCTGAGGACTATTTTTTCACTAAAAATTATATATAAATATTACGAGACCTGAAATCCCTGAAGACTGTCACACTCCTCCACAAAGAAGTGAAGATTGGATTCAAACTCATCATAAAAGTACTCATCTTTTGCAACACCCTCTCCATATCCAAACACATCAAAAGGATTAGCATGCCCTCCATGCAAAAAATCTCTTACCAACTGAATTGACTTAGGATGCAACGAAGTTCCTAAAAAATCTGACCACACGGAAATGTCTTGATCAAGGTCATAAAATTTCTCTCTTAAAGGCTTGTCATCATCTTCACTGACAAAACTGATTGACGGGCGATTACTCGTTTCATTGTCAACAGCATAAGCCTGATCACGGGTTCGATTATCAACAGCCATAGCCTCAAGTTCCTCGGCTTCTAGGTCCAGCTGAAACTCATTTTTAGGCTCGGGTTTAGACTCGTGTACAGACACCTCTCCCCACCAAGGAGATTCGTTATGGTAGGATGAAGTTTGATACAAAGTACCGTATTGTGGTAAACTTCTAAGGCTTCCTTTTAAATCAAAAATCATCAGTCGTGGAGTATAGGTTTGCTGACCTCGCGCGGTTAAACCTTCCCTAAACAAGACATCGTGGTTTATTTCTTGCTGATTTGAAGAGTTTGGGTCGTAACAAAAGCTGTTTTCCTGGATGTTCAGCCAATGGGTCCCGACAAAGTTGGAATAATGTCCAAATTGAAGTGTTATTACCTCTCTGGTCGAACTGCCCGCCATGTTTGTCGTTAAGTCGAAGTTGTGGTACAATACATGTACCCATACATGAAGTACCTACTTTAAAACCGCTAACTTATCGCAGACTCGCGTACACAGTAGTGTAAAAAAGTAAGACTGTTGCACGATACCTATTTCGCAGAGAATCGTAACCGATTCAGAGGAATGAATAGTATAGGACCTGAATGTAATGACTTGAAGAAAGAATACGATGCTTGCTTCAATGTTTGGTATTCGGAAAGTTACCTCAAAGGGGATCACAAGAGCGATCCTTGCAGTGAGTTGCTGAAGAGCTACAGAACGTGTGTTTTGGTAAAGAGTTTTAGTTATTATTATTTAATATTGTATTTTTTTCCTAAAAAAAAACAGAGCAAAGTATATAAGAAGACGATGAGATCGGATCGGTAGGCTGAAATGTTGCTATAGGTGGTAGTTCCATTTGTTTCTTATGTCAATTTTGGGATAGTTAATTAAATTCTCTCCACGTGACAGAACTCCTGTGGTAACAGGTAACATCAAAGATGTTTGTTTTTTTTGCTTCCACAGAAAGCTATCAAAGAAAGAAACATAGATCTTTCTGAGATTGAAGCAAATATTCTTGGGACTGAAAGAGAAAAGCAACCACCTCCAGGAAGATGATTGTTGGTAACATGTCATACCTGCAATAAATTGATGTCAGTACTTGTTATGGACTTGTATTAAAGTGAAAGCTGTAGAAGAAATGGATACCTACTTGGCAAACTCCAGAAGCAGACTTCCTAAAGATGAACATCTCTTACTTTCATCTGTTCCTATATTCATGTGCAAATTGTAAATGTAAGAAGACATACTGTTGTTACAGCAGTGAAGACACAGAAGATAAGACTGTTGAATTACTGTACTGATTTTAGAAAGTTCTATGGGACCTACTTTTTTTTTTTGGGTCTGGACAATCTGCGAGCCAGTGAGTCATAAGAGCCATGGAAAAAAAGACAGTTTTATGAAATTGTAAACGCATGAAAAATGTTTCCTGCTTAGTTCCTAGGCTTTGCTGATAGAATATTTGTAGAATTATGCAGTATTGATCGACTTTCACTGATTAGGGTTAAGTGCTTATTTTACGGACTAGGGTTAAGCACTTGGTTTATGGATCAGGGTTAAGCACTGTTTAGGGTTAAAAAAATTTTTTACGGATTAGGGTTAAGCACGTTTTGGCGTATGCACTCATTTACAAAGGTTAGCTTTCGGTTATTTTTTTGCATATTATTTTTATTACTGCTTTTTCGATTTTTTTCTATTTTTCTTTCACATGGCTCACATTGCTCGCTGGCTTGCACTGTGTCCTAACTCTATTTTTTTTACATTATTTCAGTTAAAAGAAACTTACGTTGTAACAATATTTGAATAGTCACTCATCTTAAACTCATGTACTTCAAAAAGCAATGTGTCTAGATCTCTTTTGAGAGATGCACATGTCTAGTCCATTTGGTGGGGTTGCACATAGTATTTAAACCTTTGTGTTAGTAAAAAAGTTGATGGTAGAAAATTTAACAATTTTTCCAAGAGTGCGCGTTGGATATGAGTTGGCTTTAATCATCTCATATCCAACAAGCGCGAGTGGGATAATTGGTTTATTAAAAAACACCCACAAAATATTGAGAATTTTTCCTGACTTCATTTGTAAAAACCACCGATTTTCAACTTTAATTTTGAGCAGACACATAGAGTTACCATATTTGGAGAGCATGGTATAATATTGGCTCATATACCATGATGGTTGTAAGCCAATTAGAGGTGAGAGCTCTAGAATTGCATAATCCAATCCAATGATTCAGTTTTTAATGGTAAGGGTTACAGCGTACAGACTGATACACTTATATGGTGAAACCTGGTCAAGCCTTTCTAGAAAGAATAAAATTTTGACTTCATTATTTCATTCTTTCAAGATTGAGTTCATTATCAGGGCTGTCTTCTATTCATAAAAATCAGAATATGCTTGCTGGCAGCACCCTGCATTCCTCATGTTCAGAGAACTGGGCTCCCTACATATTTCTTAGGGCACTGAGCCTTGATTATTGGCTTCAAAACTATTTTTTTTCTTGAAAGTTAAAGAATTGAAAATTCAAAACCAGCATTGTTTCAATTGGACCCAATCAAAATTAAAATGAGGCATTTGGTGTTTGAAGCTGCAGAGTCTCAACATATAACCTTTAATTAAACATTGGTTCAAAATCTTCATAATTATAATGATTATCACTGTTATTAGTAATATTGGTATTAGTAAGTCTGAGAAATGTTTAAAAGAAGTAAATCATTATTATTGAGTGACATGCAAAATTGCCAGCATACGTAGAATTTTCGAAGAATTATTGATGTTTTGTTGTTTCCGTCTTGCAAAAAGTTGTACACGTTTAGGTTGCATTCTATTCTTTCTGTTTAGGTAGGAGGTAATGACATTGTATTTTGTAACTTTTTTCATATTTTTTGTAATATTAATATCAGTGTATTTTAGGATAAATTTCTGATAATTCAGTCATAGTATATCTTGAAAGGTGAATATACAGTTAATGAACCTCAATTAAGCAGCCACCCTCAGAGTACTAGCAAGTGGCTGCTTAATAGAGGTTGGCTGCTCAGTAAAGGTTTGTCATAAATTAGCATAATCAGAAGCATTACTGCTCCACAATTGGTCGTCGCCTTCTATCTCGGAATGTCTTTTCCTTCATCGTATTCTTAAAATGAAGCCAAATTAAGTGTATTAAGCATTTGATGGCCGCTTGATAGAGTTGACAAGAATGGTAAACTCATTGGGACAGAACAAAAGGTGGCCGCGGCTGCTTATAGAATAGGTGGCTGATTAATGGAGGTTCAACTGTAGTTACCGGTAACTTTAGATTAATTTTAATAAACCTTCCAATAAATATTATTGGTGAAGGTAAGGGCCAGTAATTTTTGTGAAAACTTAGATTTCCAATGGTAAAATGCAAGACACAATTTTATACATTAAAATGATAATTTACCATATTTTAAGAGTAGCCCTTCATCTTTTATTTTTTATTGAGTTTTGAAGACTTGTGTCTTAACAAATTTCTCATTGTTGACAACTCCGATTGCTTCAGTTACACTGTGGCATTTTACAAGCAGCTGTTTCTGACTTGTCACAGACTAGTTGCTTGTCTGTGTTTGTCTAGTTCTAGTTCATCGCAGTCAACCATTGTCAAGTTGTTTCAAACAGGTGAAGTACAATAATATTTTGTGGTTTGGCAGTCCTCAAATTTTGAAATGTTACTCTCTTTTCAGCCTGAAATTTGTCACAATATTAAGGACACACCAAAGGCTCAAAGAAGAACAATCTATTTTCACTGCTTTTACTTTCCTAAAGCCAGGGAATCTGAATTACGTAAGGTCCTACATGGAATAAGAGTGCGTCATATCAGATCAGACGAAGGACTACAGGCTCATCCACAGTGTCAAGTTTCAAGACCACATCACCCAATTATGGACTCATCTCCAAGGAAGTATGTGTGGACTGGGTTATTTCACATTGTCTAAGGCTCAAAAGCAAGCGGATTTATTCAGAAAATTGGGCATTTTAACTAACCCTAGAGTTCGGAGTTAACCCTAAATTTCACACCACTCCTAGGCCCTAAGTACAACATTTTTAACCATCCACTATCAAGAGAAATGCTCTTGCTTCCACGTCCAAACTTTATAATGATGGTGGGGCGAGGAGACAGATGACATATCAGACTATGACCTGTCAAGTATGCCTAGGTTTTGGGCAAGTTGATTTCTTTGCATTGTCCGTCATATTACACCGTGTTTGTACCCCCCTCCCCCACCCCCCACACACACACCTTCCCCCACCCCAAACCTGTGTCATTTGATATTTTCAAATGCTCTAGGGAATATGCAGTTCTTCCAGGAGCATTTGAAAACAACAGTTTATGCAAATTTGGGGATCAAACAGTGTGTATTATGAAGGATTCGAAAATAGAAAATTGGTCATCCCTTCCCCCTCCCCCGACGCCACATGCAGCCAAACCTAGCATAAGGGACGGTCCGTTTCAGCGTAAATGAAGAAGTCATTTGATTAAAATGGCGGCAAAATGAGGCTCCAATCGGTTTTTACTCGAGTATCAACCATATATTGGAGAAAAATGAGTGCAAATACCGCGTCAGCAGTTCAATATATATCTCCAGCTCCTGAAGAATTCCTCGCGTATCGACACTCCCCGGGAAAACTTCCAGGGGTAATATTTTTGCCCGGGTTGATGTCAAACATGGATGGCACAAAAGCAACGGCTCTTGAGCGATTTTGCAAAGAAATTGGACATTCGTACGTGAGATTCGATTACAGGGGGCACGGCAAATCCAGTGGGAAAAGTCAAGAATGTACGATTGGCATGAGGAAAGAGGATGTGCTGTCAATCCTTGATAATGTGGCGAGTGGTATGGGACGTAATTAAACGTTATAAACACTGTTTCTTAAAAAAAGGCTCGTGTCAAACCAGGACGTAGACCTGCCACAAGTAGAACGGGCTCAATTAAATCGCGGTGTGCGACAAACGCAGACTGCAGGCAGACTGGCAGGTAAGCGAGGTAAACAATGTTGTAAAATGCTTTAACAGATTCCCTATCCCTAAACTTTAAGCCTAGATAAAAGTTTAGTTTAGGGATAGAGAATCTGTTAAAGCGTGTCACAACAATGTTAGCCTCGTTTACCTGCCAGTCTGCAAGTCTGCAGTCTGCGTTTGTCGAAGACCAATTAAATCGATACTGTCCATACTAATCAATCCACAGATATCTGAAATCGATAAAAGTTGATCATAAAATTTTGTGTGATTATCGATTCCTATCGAAATTGATGTTAGAGTTCGATTTTTATCTGGAAAAACGGATCAGAGGCAACAGTTTCAATATCCATTACCAAATTATTAACATCCATTCGAGAAGTTTTGCACCATCATTAAATCAGACGAAGGACTTTCTCAAAAGTCTTTTTGAGCTTTTGTAGCATTCGTCTCCAGATGCATTAGAACAGTGTTTATATCCTTTTGTAAATGCTAAGCATCTGTGTGCGTTTGAAGAATCCTTCTCCTTACGCAGCATTCGTGTAAAGTTCACGTAAATCCTCAACAGATATTCTCCAAAAAGTCTCGGAGGTCTATGGAAATTGATTACCTGTGCTGAGAAAATTGTGATTATCGACTTTTATCGACAAATTGAATTAACTAATCAACGGCAATTATTTCAAATATCGAGCATTAGTATTTACCAAATCATTAAATAGCAATTTTCGTGCATTTTGATTGGCTCCCGTAACTCGGAATATCCTTGGCTATTCACTGTTTTGCGACCAGAGCCAAGATAGCGTCTCAAAATTTGAGCGTTAAATGAAGCATTCTTGCAAACAAATGCCAAAAAAGCAACGAACTTTGGCTTATCAGTGATTTCTAGTTGGTAAAAAATTATTTTCATGCTGAATTTACAACAAAATAATAAAAATTTTGAGAAAATCCCCAAAATGTTTGTCAGTTCTAAACAATGTACCTACTAAGTGACGTTTTCAATTTGCAAAAGGTTACTTTTTTTATTTTATCCAACTGATTTGGTAAATACTAAAACAGCTATCCTCCTCAGGGGCAGTGAACAGTGTTAGATATATACCTCGATGCTTTGTGTCTGGGTATATATCCACCACTGTTTACTTGTAGTCCGCTTCGGGGGATAGTTGCATACTACTGACTTATCAACTAGCTTTAATATGATCGATTTCTGTCGACATGTAACGTCCTGGTGAAACGCTGCCATTTACATGTGAAGAGGGGACGTTCCATTTTTTATCCGCAACCCTCCTCCCTAAGGATGACAGGTTTTCAAACGGGGTTCAGATTTTTTCGTCAAAGAAGCTGACAAAATTTGGAACCTCTGGACAAATTTCTCAAAGGTGCAGACAAAAAGTGGACCCTTCGAATTCAATTTTTCAAAGGGCCCCCACAAAAATTTGAGGGTTCAGATTCTTGTCATCTTTAAAGGGAAAGTGGGAGTTGGTTGTTGGTTTAAAAATGGAACGTCTGAGCAGCATTTGGCTCAGTTATGGACCTTTTATCGGCAGTCCCCCTAGCCGACTCTGGGCAAGGGAGCTGACGTTGTAAAGGACCCTGTCAAAGTTATAAATTAGTGCCTCCTTAATCTTTTTACTGGGGACACAGACCAAACAGTAGAGACACTTCTCAACCCTCCCTGCTGCTAGGGATGTTTTGCATCTCTTGCAAAACGTTCCTGACAGCAGGGAGCATTAAGAAAGTTTGTATTCACAGGCTATCCTCGTCATAGAAGGGTACAACATGAAATTAGAGAGAGAGTACAAAATACGAGAGTACAAAATAAGTAAGATTACCCAGCTCATGGGGATCAGCCAGCCATGGATTTATTTAACATATTTTTTTTTCTAGAAAGTTAACAATCTTATGCTTAGTGGGGACACAGATCAAACAAAGTTAAGAAATTCTTAGCCCACTGTGAATACAGATACCTCTCAATGCTCCCTGCTGCTACAGACATTTCGCTTCTCTCACAAAGGTTACTAACTTACAATTATAGACTTTGTAGTACAGTGAAATGGCATTATAATGAAGGGCCATTAATAGAGACTGGAAAAATACATGTTTTTACTATTTAGGCACCATGGAAACAAAAATTTTGTATCTTGCGACTTAATGTGGAAAACAGTAGCCAAGTTGATGACCCCAGAGCACACTCTGTAATTCCAAAAGGTTGTTGAAAACAAGTTAGCCAAGTATATACTCATACAGTGCAATGGTTGTTTCATATAGTGTGGTTTTGTGTGTACTGACCCTTTAGGCCTCAGTATATCCACATCCAAATTCTCCAGACAGATTTCCATTCATTTTCTTAAAGAATTTGTTATGTTAGGAGAGAATTAATGTTAGTCACTCTTGGGACCAAGAGTGGTACATGTACCTTACTTTTACAGTATCCGCAGGGCTTCCTGTAAGTCCTTTCATAGTTCTCAACATCAAAAGTAAATTTAACTGAACCATAGAGGTGAGGCTGGTTGATCTTTTACTCTTCAGCTTACTGTTATGCTTTGAACTTGATTTTCGGGGTTTGCTCACCTTTTTTGCCCTACATGCTCAACTCCTGCATATTTACTTGTAAGAAAGTTTACGTCTGCACCAGCTACCTTGTTTCTTCTGATTCAATACCTCGTAAACGTAATTTTAGTGGATGATGTGTGCTGACAGTTTCAAAATTTTTAGGTCCCCAAATCCTAGTTGGGTCAAGTCTTGGAGGCTGGGTCATGCTTCGTGTTGCTATTGAGAGACCTGACCAAATCAAAGGACTTGTTGGAATAGCTAGTGCTGTGGACTTTTTGTCTCGTCGGTATGACAACCTTCCTAGTGAAATCAAAGCAGAAGTGGAGTCTACAGGAAAATGGATCCTACCATCAGAGTACAGCCCCAAAGAGCCGTATGTGTTAGATTTTAAAGTGATCAAAGAGGCCAGGAAACATATGCTAAAGGAAAATGAGGTGTACCCTATTCACTGTCCTGTCCGTCTGATCCACGGAATGAAAGACAAGGACGTACCATATCAGGTGTCCCTTGATATTGTTGAGCAACTTGCAAGTAATGATGTTCATGTGACATTAATTAAAGATGGAGGTCATAGACTTTCTGACCCAGGTAATCTACAGTTTTTAATGAGGACATTAGGACAACTGATTGAACAAGTTCGATAAAATATTCAGAGCCGTGTTTCTTTTTTGTGATACATGAATACACACTATGATGTGAAGTGATGCATACATGGCTTAATGTCTCACAATGCTTTTGCCTGCATTGCTAGCCTGTTCGAGGCCGGTTTAGATCGTAGAGCGCGGTGTTCAGACGGTGGGGAGCAAGATAAATCGTACGCAGGGAAAAAACGAGGGAGACTGGGGAGAGAGCCAGGGAACCTCCCTTTTGCCTCTTTAGTCTTCTCTCGTTTTTTTTTTTTCCTCGTCAATTATTCGCCCGCACTCTGCTATCTGAACACCTGGAACAAGCTAATCCACACTAACTATATAGAGTTCTCTTTCTACTGTAGGACCTGTTGGTCTCGAGAGACAATAGGTCCTTTGCAGCTTGCCATTCACATGGCACAAAACCGCCATGCTGGGATGCAAAAGTCGCGCTGGGGCAAGACCAACAAAAGGCATGCATAATTCTAAATGGTAATTTCCTTTGTTCGTCTTGTTCCAGTGCGACTTTTGGGTCTCAGCATGGCGGTTTTGTACCACGAGAATGGCAAGCTACAAAGGGCCTATTCCGACGGCAACACACTGGCTAACAATGCTTAAAAATGATGTAAAATAGCTCTATGCATAGTGGATATTTTAAACCTTTTGAAAGGTTTGAACCCAGGAGTCATTTCACAAGTCTGTTGTTTCATAGTCTGTTTTTGTCGCTAGTGACCAAGCAGTCGCGAAAAGGTGTTTTTAGTTACCATTTTCGTCAATCTCCTTAGTAAACTGTATGTCCGCGTTCTGTCCGTTGAGGTGCTCATGAAAATCTTCGATTTCGTCTTGGTGTACAGCGGTAAAAGTGTCGTCAACGTAGCGTAACTATTCTTAGTAAACCCCTTGCAGGGCGTTTACCGTGGGCATGTCCTTTTAATCCTGGTGTCCATATAATATGAGCTAAAGGGAGTATGGCCGAGCGGTTAGAGGGCTGGAATTGTAATCGGGAGGCCCCACCCTGACCACAAGCTGGATTTGTTCTCGGGTCGACCCGAGTTTAACTCGGCCAAGTTGGAATTCATAGACCAGTATTCATGGCCCCTTAAAACGTTTTACTGATTAAATACTTACCGTCTAAGATATCCAATACCATTCAATCGTTCAGCTCAGTGTTACGTAAACGACTTAGAACCATAGGGATTTTGACGCTATAGAAATTGGAATTGTAATTCATTGTAATTGTTCCATTTGAATAGACCTTTCCACGGTTTCTTTCAAATCGGGCAAGAAACAAGTGTCCGTTGTCCGCTTTAACGGGTGTCCTTAGTAAGCAGGTTGAATGTAGAGGAAATGTATGGGCTTTGCCCAGGTACAAAGAAAACTGTCCGTATTAAGCGAGTGTCCGTAATGCGGGGTTTATTAGGGGTTGGGGAAGGAAGCGAGTCTTTTTTATTTGATGATATGGAAAAATTTTTGGTTCCTCTCTCCATCGCATTTTCGAATCCGAAAATTTTAGGTTTTCTTTTTTCTACGAAAAATACAAAAATAGCTTAAGCTGGGGATTTAAATGCGAACGTGGAACTTCGCTAGCAAGAAGGGCAATGTGCGAGTAGTAGGATTAACCTCCGCTTGCTAGGTTAAACCTAGCACTAAAGGGTTACCTCCCGTCCTTGTAAACAAGCTCTAAAGAATGGATACAACTGCATATATCAAGAATTTTCCCCTGGATCCGCCACTGATGTCAATTGAGGAAACCTGGGCCAAGTTTAGGATAACCCAGGGTTAGTGCGAAATTTGAATTCAGATTTGAAAGGTAAAAAAGAATCAAGAATGCTAAAAAGTCCTTTTTATTGAAATCTTTTACATCTTGTGACGGCAACACACGTAAGACCTGGGAGATCATTAATGAGGTGACGGGTCGCAAATCTGAAAAAGCGATTATAAATGAACTCGAATTTGAGGACAAGAAATTAACTGATTACTGCATTACTGCATTGACCGAAGCCACAGATAGCTGGTCTTTGAACGTCGACCGCGGCTTTGTCAATAAAGTTGTCTTCTTAGACCTTAAAAGGGCTTTCGACACGGTAAACCATGCTATTCTTCTTTCAAAACTTCAAGCATATGGTATCCGTGATTCTGCTAATCAATGATTCTGTTCTTATTAGAGAAATCGTTGCAAACGTGTCTCGTTGATTGCAACAAGTCATCTGAAACGTACCTACCCTGCGGTGTCCCGCAGGGAACGATTTTAGGCCCTCTTGTTTTTACTATATAAAAATGACCTTCCGAATTACCTCATGCATTCACAACCTATAATGTATGCTGACGAAACTAGTATCACCTATGCGAGCAATGATGTTGAAGAAATAGAGCGTTGCGTTAACATAGATTTAGATAGAATTCGAATATGGTTTGCAGCGAACAAACTTACACTAAACACGACTAACACAGAATTTTTATTAATTGGGTCTAGGCAAAGACTGTCAACGCTAGAAAGGAATCCCATAACTGAAATTAATAAGTTTCCGATTAAACACGTTTCGACTTCAAAATCCCTAGGTGTTCACATCGATGGAAATCTTTCTTGGGAGTGTCATATTAACGAAATCTCAAAGAAGATTGCTTCTGGCATAAGTGCGATTAAGCGTATTAGGTATTTTCTCCCTTTTGAGATTCTACTTAACGTATACAATTAACTGGTACAGCCACACTTTGATTACTGTAATGTAGTATGAGGAAACTGTTCCAAGAACCTATCTTCAAAATTGCAGAAATTGCAGAATCGTGCCGCTCGTGTTCTGACTTTCTCTAATTATGACTGCAGTACTAGTGAATTATTTCAAAATTTAAAGTGGAAAAAACTTGTCCATCAGCGCGCAGTTAGTAGAGCAATAATGATGCATAGCATTGTAAATAACACTGCTCCAGAATATCTGAGGCCCAGTTCAGACGTCGTGCTTCTGCCGTGCCGAACTTAATTGTAATTTGGTTCGACTGTAGCACGGCAAGAAAACAACTTTGATTCAGACGTCGTGCCAGAGTCGAACCAAATTCAGGATTTACTGATGCCTCGTGACAATTCTTCTCCCAACCCCCCGTGGGAACGCAATCTCGTCAAAATACATTAATATAATTTATGAAATTTGTTTAGCGCGGCAGAAGCACGACGTTTGAATCGCTGCCGTGCCAGAGCCGTGTAGCACGGCAGCGCTTGTCGAACTTAATTGCTTGCCGAACTTAATTCAAAAGTTTGATTCAGACGCCGTGCTTCTGCCGTGCTTTTGTCGAACTTAATTCCTGAATTTAGTTCGGCACGGCAGAAGCACGACGTCTGAACTGGGCCTGACTTCGCGTTTTGTTCGTCGCTGCGATTTAACTAGTTATAACCTTAGAGAGAATGAATACAAGCCCGCTGTTCCACAACCCCGTACTGAATTTTATAAAAGAGGTCTTTCTTACAGCGGAAGTGTGTTATGGAACAGCTTGCCTCTGGAGGTACGGCAATTGACACCCCCTAGTATATTTAAGGGAAAATTAAAAGACATAAATTTCGATTGACAAATAATTTAATTAGCGATATTCTGTTTTTACACACGGCCTCCTTGAAAAGCAGGTGTTTTCTTTTCATCTTTATTAGTTTAGTTTTTATCTTAGATTTTAGATTAGTTAGGAAGTTAGTTTTTCTATACTTGAATGTAAATGTACCTGATGGAAATACCGTGTATAAATAAAGTTACCATACCATACCATACCAAAGCTCATTGAGTTTAATTCTTTTTGTGTAAAATATGGTGATTGGATGATCTAAAAAGTATAGAGAAAATTTTGAATAAAAGAAAAAGAAACCCGGTTAAAATTTAACCCCTGGTAGCGCCAATCGGCCTTCGAACAACTGGGCCCTGATTGGCTGTCTTGTCTTGGGTATCGAGAAACCCTACCTATTTACCACGTTAAATGTCATGGGCGGTTCCTTTCTCCTTTCTGACGTACGTAACCAGGGATATTTCCCGTGGTAAAGTTCGGTCACACGCACTACGCCAATTTCCCACGGTAAAGGTGTCCCGTGTAACCGCACCTTTACAAAGTTAGTAAAGCCAGTGAGCCCGGGGGTGGTGGTGGTGGTGGGGGGGGGGGGTACTTGGGTAAATTTTTGCTTGATATGTGCCGCTGGCCTCTCAGAGCCCCTACCCCATTATAGTCTATTATATGACCAATTATAGACCCCATCTTAGTCACTTTTGGGCAGATATGTAATTTTCGCGATCCCAACTTAGTCTCTTTCGTCACTTTCTATAGTTATGGACTGACTCATTTTTTAAACTAAATGAAGAACACTGTACTTTTGTCCTACAGTATACAAACATTCTGGTACGTTTGCTAACCGTAAATAAGAAGAACTGTTCAGTTTTACCTCAAAAGATCCGAAAATGTGCGACCCCATTCTAGTAACTCTATTGAAAATGCGACCCCATTATAGTCAATCTAGTCGTGAAAATGCGAACCCATCCTGCGGCACATCCCCATTCGCCTCTTACAAGGAAGTACCCCCAATGTTTTACATTCAAAAGATGTAATAAAATTCAAACTGAATATGTATTAGTCATGGGGGTATGTATGGTCCGCATTAATTTGGAAAAATTAGCATAACGTCAAAACAGTGAATATTGTAACTCGGATTGTTGGCCGGTTCGTAGGCTTCAGTGCTCCATTAAATACAGCTTTTTCGAGAAAGGTTGTCGGAAAAATGTGCACGCGACAATCCCGAAAGGTAATATGGGATATGATCAATACACTGTTTCTGACGAATGTACCTGTCGAACCTACTTTTGTTGCTTTCCTTTAGCACCCGCAAACACATTTCCATGGCCTTTCGTACCAACTCTTTCAAATTTCTTTAAAGAACAGTGAACTTAACAGTGAACCATCCACAATGCCTTTCGGGATTGTCGCGTGCACTTTTTCCGACAACCTTTCTCGAAATAGCTGTATATAGAGCTAGCAGTCGAACACAGAAGCTACTATGAATTTATTAGGAATGTACACATACCATGTCAGGCTATATATGTCAAATGAAATAAAAAAAAAGGCGGCGAAGACCTCTTTGAATATTAATTCAGACTTACCTAGAAAGAGCGAGCTTTTGTTCTAAGGAAATAGAGCGTAAGGTTATCGTCATCAAAATAATCTAATGAGTTAAGAGTACTGCTCGCATAAGGCAACAAAGCACAGAAAAGTTGTGTGCTCCAGTTCATTCCAAAGGTAAGTAAAGTTATAACCACGTTACTTTAATCTCTGTGACCTATCCACTATACCAAAGACGTCCCCATTAATAATCTAGTATGTGAGCAATAATCTGATGCTTGATTTTTGTATATCTGCAATTTTTTAAAATGCTTTGTTTGCCAAGGGAGGAAGTTGAGTTGGAGGTGAAGTTGAAGTTGATGCATGTCCGCGCGCTGAGGATACAAGAAATGATTGTCTTATTTTTATTCATTCTGTTTTCTTCCATGAAGGAAGAGAATTTGATGAAGTTTGTTTTTCAAACAGTTTTTTTTTAACATAACGATACCAATTTCAGCAATACAAGGTGACTTAAATGACATTTATGCGGAGAGGATCACGTCTAATTACCAAGAAGTTGCTAACGGTTTGTCGAAACTTAATTCCTTAGCAGGGTGAAAAGACGTTTGGAGACCGGCTTTCGTCAGCTACAAAAGAATATCTTATGAGTTAAATGGTTTTGCAATGACTTTCAAAGTACAAAAAAAATCCATTAGGTTGTATAAATTATTGATTTTTAGTGATTTCTTAGGCAAATTAGGTGATGGAGAGCGATTCAAGTGTTATCATTTTTTTTTCATTATACGGTTAATACAAGGTCTTACGATGCTAATCAAGGTTTCCCTGTGAAAAGAGGTGCTTTGAAGTGTACCCGAAGTTATCCTGAGAATATTTAGTCACGTTTTAAAATATTAAAGATCGGAACACACTAGGCAACAAGTTGCAGGAACACGTCTCGGCGACAGATCACTCCGTGCGGTACAACTCGGGGGACTAGTTGAAGCAACACGTTGCGGCGACACATGGCAGCGACAAATCGCCTCGCGTGTACCGGAGAATTTTTGTGAAAAAATCTTTTTTTCTGCAACAGGATTTTGTCGCCGCCACAAGTCGCACAAATTCTGTCTGATTTGATTTTTCAGTTGTGCGTGGACATGTTGCGGCGACAAAATTCTGTTGCGGAGACAAAGATTTTCACAAAAAATTCTCCAGTACACACGACGAAGCGATTTGTCGCTGCTTCGTTTGGCCGCGACAGGTTGCTGCAACTTGCCCACCTATTTTTCATGGTAAGATGAAAAAACTCTTTTTGCTTTGAGGGGTGGTTCTGTTTCCAATGTAAATCTGAACCACTGAAAATGAAAGCAGTAGGTTCGCCTAATTTGCAAACTCTCGCAATCATTCGAGCTCAAAGTTCATGAAGCGTCACCAACACGACAGAGGATAGGACAATGCAGCGGTTTCTTCTTCTCCACTTTTTTAGCACACAAATCTCTCGAGGTTCCATAATTTCTCCCATTTAAGTCACTTGGCTTCAAAAGTTAATTAACTTCAGTGATACAGGCTGGGAAAATCTTGTTTATCGAGGGAGGCGTATCAGTGATTCTGTTCGTCATGCTTTGTCAAGCCAAACGAATGTTAGCGCAGAATGAAGTATATCTCAATTAGCAAGTAGAAAGTAAATTAGTTTCAAAAGAATCTTTTACACTGCTCTCGGCGGGCAAGTGAAACACTGAGTTTATCTGCGAGAACGTAAGGTGAGGAATGTATAACAGCTGAGGTTTCCTGTATAAGCTATCTTTTGCTGCTCTAATGAAGGGCTAACGTCCAAAACCGCAGTTTCTTTTTTGGAGCTTTTTTGGCGTCATTTCTTACTAACGTTAAGTTCATTAAATTCACATCGATAGTAAAAAAATCTAAATTTATTTCCGTCATGGTTCTACACTATCAACCATCTCTGACATTAAGCACAAAGCAGTCGGTCAGCAGCTTCAATCAACGGCTAAACTAGCTCCCTTTATTGAGGGAGATGTTAACCCGCGTAACTTTTAAAACACTGTGAAAGTCCTAGGGGGACTCCCATGTAACAGTGATGGGGATACTCGTCGTCTCTCTTAGGAATGTAAATTGCAGATTTTGGTCTCACTTAGGGTGTTTGGGACGGAAAGTCGCTATATCTGCCCATTCAGGCATCGCTTAGGACTGTGCGTACGGAAATTTACAAAAAATGCCCTGACATTAACCACACAAAGAAATCTAACGTTTAAAAAAGCACACGATATCCCTGGTACTCACCAGGGGCACCCAACGTCAATTTTTGGAAAATATCTGTTCGGAAGACGATTTGAGATCTAGAATTTTTGGAACATTTGTTGTAAAATTTCTTCCTTGCCTACCTCTCCTAGGATTTTCGAACATTTAAAAAATGGTATAATTGCCCATTTTCAACGGATTTTTACCTAAAAAGGTCACCTAGAATTTTCGGGAGCCTTTTTTCCGGCTGAAATTTTCGAAAAGGTAAGTTTTGATCCCTACAATTTTCGAATCACTAGACTTTCAGCTAGGAATTCCTAACAGATGAAAAATTTTTAGGGGATGAAAATATGCCTATATCTAAAGGTTAAATAATAAAATACGTTTAACAATGCTATGTTTAAGAGGTTTTGAACTACATTCTCTTGGGGTGCCCCTGGCTCATTTAGATCCCTAGCTCGTCAGGGGCATCCAACGAGAATATAGTTCAAAACCACTTAAGCATAGCATTGTTAAACGTATTTTAGTATTTAAAAGGTAGATAGGCATATTTTTATCCCCTAAAAATTCTTCATCTGTTCGGATTTCCTAGCTGAAAGTCCCTAATTTGAAATTAGAGTCCCTAATTTGCATTTTGAAAACAAAAAACTTTTCATCGGTTTCATCGATACATTCAAGTCAAAAAGACAAAACTTTACCTGTTAAAACTTCCAAACCGAACTTCGTCACCTTCTTCGTGTACTTCGGGAACAGCTTGCTTGATGAGTTGTGAAATTTCTTTGTTTGCACGGTAGCGAACCGGGAAGGCATTTTGCTCGCAACTTACGCGAGTTTGGCGTCACTCGCTCGGAGGAACTGGAGGTGAATCAGTGAATAGTGCAGGATATTCACTGACTTTGAGTAGCCAATCAGAGCGCGCGAAAAACACTATCCACTGTTTTTTATATACTAAACAATAATAACATAATGGCACCTATATTTCAGTTTTTAGGTATTTTTCATTGCACAAAGCACTTCTGAAGTGTCCGTCTTCGGTTTCAAAAGTGTCCATTGTCCGTCTTAGAGAGGTGTCCGTCTTATAGAGAGTACAGTTACAATAAAATGACTGAAAAACGGAGGGGCCAACACCAGGTGTGCGTCTTATAGAGGTGTCTGTCAAGAGAGAATTGAATTAATCAAACTTCCCGCAACGATAGATTCTGCCCTATTTGTTACTCTGGTATAATTGAAGACGAATTTCATTTTCTCTTCCATTGTCCATAATATTCAATCCCAAGGGAGAAATTCTACAATCAAATCCAACAAACTTTTGTCGCCTTTAATCAGCTATCTTACACAGATTAAAAAAATTAAATTGATGAATTCACAGAATTTTTCCGTAAATTCACATTTGTTGAAATTTGTCTCATTATGTAATGGTTTTACGTACTAATTTGTTATCAAATCATGCTGATGACACTTGATTGACTGTGATAATCATTGCATTGCATTCTCATTGTTATAAATTGTAAGTCTATTTTAAAGCTTTTGCAATACTGTAACTACATAATTATAGTCGTGCAAATAAAGCTTATGTTGTTGTTGTTATTGTTGACTATAGCCCTCTATTTTTCTCATGTTTCAGCGTGTCGAAAACCGTATTCTGTCTCAATGACAAAAGAAAAAATGGACACTAGTAAGAATATGAAGACAAGAATAATTCTCGCTTTTGGTTTGGTTGGATTCCTAGTGGACTTTAACTTTTTTACTCTCCAAAGTGCGGCACAAGACATCTTAGAAGGCACTAACATTCCTACAGCATGGGTCAGTCTAGCTGTTACCGGTCCAGCCGGCCTTGTATCAGCCCTTTATCCCTACGTTTTTGAAAGAGTCCCAGACTCCGTGGCATGTTTCGTAATTTTCTTCGCGTCTGTGGCTGGAATTTTACTAACGTCGCTTGTTCAAGATTTGAGAGTAAGATTAGCTGGTGCGTGTTTGGTTTCATTTGGAATAGGCAGCGCGGAATCAATTTTTATTTCGCTATCGTCCTTTTACGGAGGGAATACAATAACCAGCTATGGTCTGAGTACAGCTATTTCGTTTGTAGCGGGGCCTCTGTCATACGTAGGTGGGTATAGTTTTTGTTTTACTGTGTATGAACCTTAAAGGGTTTGCCTTAGATGACGTGCATTTACATAATAAGAAGCATGCACGAGGGAGGGACTAAGTGGTTATGAATTCCTCACCTCCCTCCCTAGAGAGTGTTTTGTCGCATAATGTTCCAAAAGCTTTAGAACTGATTGAACGATCAGAATCTGCCTACTGAGTACATGTTTGTTAGTTTTTAGGAGGTAGTGAAAGAAAAGGATTCGGGGGCACCCAACGTCAATTTTCGGAAAATATCTGTGCGGAACACGATTTGAGATCTAGAATTTTCGGAACATTTGTTGTAAAATTTATTGCTTGTCTGCCTCTCCCAGGATTTTTGAGCATCTAAAAAATGGTATAATTGCCCATTTTTAACGAATTTTCACCCCAAAAAGGTCACCCAGACTTTTCGGGAGCCTTTTTTCTGGCTAAAATTTTCGAGGAGGTACGTGTTGATCCCTATAATTTTCGAATCACTAGACTTTCAGCTAGGAAATTCGAACAGATGAAAAATTTTTAGGGGGTAAATATATGCCTATATCTACCGTTTAAATACCAAAAATACGTTTAACAATGCTATGTTTTGTGGTTTTGAACTATATTCTCGTTGGGTGGACATGAGGATTTGACACCTTAGTGAAGAATATCCATTTTCAACAAAATGGCCTTCGAGCGTTGAGCATGCAGTGGTTTTCAAGACCAAATTATTGCATGTCAAGGTTGAAAATACACCGATAAGGCTCACAAATGGAAAGAGAAAGGAATGCTCTTTTTCCTTTTTTTGGACAAATGAAAGCTGCTCTTTGCGAAATTATCCTTCCAGGAATTAACCTGTTTTCTTCAAGGCAGAACAATTGGCCTATTTTTCAATGCCATCAGGGCAATGAAGTATTTGAAGAAATTTTAGATACATTTTGTACTCTATGGTCAAGGAAAATACATTTATAGAAGGATTTTTTTGTATTTATTAAGGTTTTATAGACGTTTTTTTTCTTTTTTTATTATATTTATTGATAATCACATTAGATAATTACATTACAATACTACGAAAAAGCATTTTAATAATAGACATTAACAGAGTAAAGCAAAATTAAATTGTTAAATTAAGAAATTAGAAAAAAGTACAAAGGGGCAATGAGATAACACGGAGTTAAGACAGTTAACTTAAATAAGGCGTCAGTAACCACTTTCTTTTAAAGTTTATTGCTTTTATTATAAGTATATAAATGGAGGGCTACTCTTTTAGCACTGGCTAGAGCTATATATTACTGAGAGGACTAGCTGGTCTAGCCAGCCAGTTCTGACAAATTGTAAACGCCCAATAAACGCACTGCTAGGTTCTTTTTTTTTGCCTTCCTCGTTACTGTCGCCAAGTCGTTGCTTATAATATAAGCTCCCTTTTAATGAAAGACTGAGAGGCTTGTACTGGGAGTAGGGAGTTCCAAACCTGTTTTGTGTCGCTAAGTCCATCGCATTGTGAATTAAGGATAGAACACTAGAGTCTATCAACAAACATGATGAACAAGTCAACTTTATTTTGGCATGGTAGCCCCGGCTATCAGCCACTGCATGGCTGGTATCAAAAGGGGCCCTCCAACAAAATTAATAGTTCACATTTTATTTCAATTCACTTTATTTTATAAATATTTTCATATTTTTTATGTCCTGGGCCGAGAGAATGAGGAAAATTACCAGAGAAAATGCCCAGTTAATAAAACAAAAGAAAAATCTGCCCGATTAGAATTTAACCCCGGTTTACCGTTAATCGGCCTGCGAACAACTGGGCCCTGTATACGTTCAGAAAAAGAATAATTTGTTTGGAATAAACTTTTATTTCGCTTTATTCAAAGGTATGACCATGTTGGCTTGTTGGTCTCCAAATCCGTCGCTTCTTCGTCTCTCAGTATTATGGATCTTACTGCCTATTTCATACCTTTTAATAAAGGATTGGAGCAACTGCAGCCACAATCCCCCATCAAGAATGAAGAACCCGGCGGATCAAAATTATCCCGCAAAGACATGTTATTTCTGACATGGAAGATACAGAAACTGTTTATTCCTCTGTTCGTGGGCATGTTCTGTAAGAATTTGCTACTTTCTGGTGTTGTAACAACCATAGCTTTTACTAACATTCCGATTACCCCAAGAAATCAATATTTGCTATACAACTTGGCATATGGGACAGGGGAGCTTCTTAGCAGGCTATATTTAGGATACCTGTCTCTTTGTGCTATCGAAGACAAGTTTGTTTTTAAGAAAACATGGATTCCTGCATTACTTCAAGTTTTTGTAACGATGTTTATGGTGTTTGACTCCTGGTTTCGGCTGATACCTGAACTTTATCTTGCTCTTGCTCTGGTCATGCTCAACAACTTCCCGCTAGGGATCCTGTACGTAAACAGCTTTCTGAATGTAGGGGAGGGGCTCCGCGCGGAAGAAAAAAGGTTTTGTCGGGCATTTTAAGCTGGTGCTCTATGGTCGTCAAACATTGCTGCATCGCTGATTTCCCTGAATACAGAACCTCGCCTTCGACAACACTGTCTGCTGTTTTACTCTGAGGTCGCTTGCTATACAAGGTCACAAACTGCCTGGAGCCGCAATATCTCATGCGTGTTGTAAAATACCAGATTAAGGCATTTCATATTTCCTATTTTAAGCATTTTTTCACGATCAAACGCACACACTCACACAAACAAGGAAGGTGCGAAGAGACGCAGAAACTGCCAAAAGGAGACAGAGAGCATAATTCCCTTCACTAGCACTCGATTTGACAGATTAATGTTTGACTCGGGGCGTTCATTTAGTTTCAAATATGATCTGATTCGTTCACCCTATTAAGGCGATAGAAATTCAGTTAACCTGCTGCTAGAAGAGATTTCCTCCATAATCCTCATGAACTCTAACGTGCTGCCTTGTTGGTTTGAGCCAGCAGTAATAAACGGACCGGCAAAGCGGTTGCTCCTTCAAATTGGCGCCAAAAAAATGCAAGGCAGAGAGACATCCGCATGATTTTCTGTTTAATTTATTTCTTTATGCCACTAGTTTCATTATATATTCCATTCCGAATAATTATGTCATTCCGCAAGCCAAGTCGCATGCCATTCCGCAAACTCATTCCTTCTTTTACCCTAACCGTTGCCGTTCAATGCTGTCAATTAATTATTTACCTTTTGTTTTTTTAAGCATCAAAAATGACAATTTATAGAGCTGGTACATTCCAAATTTATATACCTGGCTTAAGCTGCGGTTCGCAGTGCTTTCAATATGGTGAAAATTGGCAATGAATAGCTCTTCGCGATCACACATGTGGCTATTCAGTCTAACTCATAAGATATATTTGTTCGCAAAAGGTGTCATCTTTGGTTTTAGAGCCGCGGTTTAAACGTTACTCAAAAGGCAATAATTTTTTTAAAAAAATCGGTTCTTTGAGAGTTTAGTCATTTCTAAGCATTTTAATGAAATGTCAAAGCCATTAAAAATTAAATAACGCCGAATCCATGGTAAATCTTTGCGCCTAGCTTCGTAAAAGCCATTGTTTACTTGTTTACTCGTTTAAGGCTGGTTTTCACTAGCGACGGAGTCGGCGTCGAAGTCGTAAGCGGAGACGTAAGTGCGCTTATGACCTAAAGAAAATTAAACATCGGAGTCGTAAGAGGAGTCATAAGCCCGACGGAATCTGAGTCGGAGGAATTGAAACGTTTCCATTTCCTTCTCACTTCGTTTATGACTCCGTTGCTTTGAAAATCTGATTGTCAGAGTCGGAAGCTGAAGCGGAAGAATAAACCAATCACATAGCACGTTCTCACGCTTTGTGATTGGTTTAGTTCTTGTGCTGCTGCTTGCGACTCCCGACAACCTAGTTTTCACTAGATCGTAAGCGACGGAGTCGTAGGGGGAATCAGAACGCTGTTTTCAGTAGATCGTAAAGTTCTAAGCTTCTGATTACAACTCCGACTTTAGGGTAAGGGTAAGTATCAGTCTCCCGCTCGTTTGTTTCCCCATAGGTGCGTGCTGCATGCCGGACCACGGCTTGCTGCCTTTGAAATCTCGGCTCTCTCTTGTTAGCAAATCGGTTTACGTTATGGGGGCTAAAATTCTTCCCTTAGTATCGACACCTTTTTCAACGCATTGACGAAGATAAACATTCGGCGATTGGCAAACACCTGCGCGACGTACACAATCAAACGGATAAGGATCTACGTGACCAATTCACCATCATGAAGAAATGCCGTGGAAAGCTGGATTGCTTAATTTACGACTGAACACCCAATCTGACTCCATCAAAGTAAAACTATTTACCTGATAATTAGCACCTTTTACCCTTCATATGTATTTTTCTCTATTAATGATATGCAACTAAACTGTCGCACGCAACTCCCTATATAATGAAGTGACGGAATTAAGAACTACACGAATTTGAAAATGATGACATGGAGTCACCGAAACTTCATTCATTGCTATCGCTAATTTTTATTCTCAATTCTTTTTCTAAAACCTCCGTTATTAGAAGTATCGATGTCAATGATTTTAATAAAAATTTTACTCAATAATTACAACGCCAATGGTATTTTGAAAAAGAACACGCTTTTCATAGAAAACACCTTAACAGTAACAAAATGTGCAAAATTGAATTTAGAAACTTGAACATTAACTAAGATTATTATAAATTAAACCTGTATAAAGATATGAGACCTGTAAACCTGTATAAAGATATGAGACCTGTAAACCTGTATAAAGATATATACTTTAGGGATATTAGGAAGTAGAGTCCTTGTCAAGCTTAATTTTCTTGTCATGCTTTTCACTTTTTTAGCTTATAACACAGTGTAGGAGCTTAAGAAGTGTTAGATAACAAAATAAACTGCTGTGGAAAAGGGTGTTGTTCAGTGTTTTGATTGAAGTTGAGTAACCGTTTTCAACCCGCTGCGGTCACTGGGCAAACTGATTATTGAGCTTTAAGCATCCACGGCGGCAACGGCGGCGAAAACGTTTCTTAAAAAGTGAATTGGCCCTTTTTCAAAATTCTTCGCTCTTATTCTGATCTAATCCAATTTCTCGAACGTTGCCGATTTTGTTCTTGAGTTAAATTCTGAATGACTGTATCGGATAAAGATCAGAAAAAGAAAAAGATAATCGTTGTCTTGTTAACACGTTCTCCATAAAACGTGAAATTAGGACGTTTCACGTCTTAGTTGTGCAATCATATGACAGTAAAAAATTTACAAAAAAGCGTGATGCACGTGCAAAAGTTGTTGTTTTGCTGCTAATTATATAGCAGTCAGTTAATCCAGTATTGTCAGCACGGCTATTATCCTTTAATTTCTCAGAATTGTCCAATTTGGGATTTAATTTGGACAGTTTTCAATATGGAATTTGAGTAAAAAAATGCAGAAACTGTCCTATTTGGGAAAAAATAGGACAGTTTGTTTCGGCCAATGAAATCCGAGAAAAAACAATGGATTGTGAAACCAACCAATCAGCAGTGAGCAAACGTCAGCACTGAAAGCCGCACGGGTCGCCATTGTTGTTGACAACATGGAGGAATTCAGTGAAGAAAATTTGCCAAATTTTTCCATCTTTAGCAGTTCTAACACAAATGAGAGATTTCCATGGTTGCAGGAAGAGGAAATTAATACTCTTAGAAGCAGAAACGAAAACTCAAACACCGCCAAGAGCACAAAAACGTGGCTGAACGTTTTCAACGAGTGGAAACTCCAGCGTAACGAAGCGAGACGTTTTGAAGATATCCCTCCAGAAGAGCTAGATGCAATTCTCTGCCGCTTCTTTGCCGAAATTCGAAAAAAAGACGGCGGCGAATATGAACCAGAAAGTCTGGCAGTGATGCAGAGCGCGTTGGACCGCCATTTAAAAAACGCTGGCAAAAAACACAGCATCTTGCGAGACCGCGAATTTGAAAAGTCAAGGCAACAACTTGAGGCGAAAGCAAGAGAATTGAGAGTGAAGGGTTACGGAAAGCGAAAAAATGCATCTCACGCTTTGAATGAAGAAGACGAAGAATTCCTCTGGCAGTCAGGTCAGCTCGGTAAACATTCTGCTCAAGCTCTGGTCAATGTAAACTTTAAAAATGTCACTGAACACTTTGGCCTCCGAGGGAGACAAGAGCACTATTCAATGACGGTGGAAGATTTCAGCATCATAACCAGTCCTGACAGCGTTGTCAAATACATAACTTTTAAAGAAGGTCCTACAAAAACGAGGCAAGGAGGTCTCCGGATCGCCCACAGAGCTGTACAACCCAAAATGTTTTCGACTGGCGGCGAAAGATGCCCTGTAATGCTTTTCGAAGAAATGCTGTCTAGAAGACCACCAGAAATGAGAGACAGTGGGCCATTCTACTTGACAACTATTTCAAAACCCAAGGGCCAAGTATGGTTTAGCAGACAACGAATGGGTGAACACAAAATTGGACAGCTTATGAAAGACATGGCTGTCAAGTCTGGTCTAACTGCTGCCACTGGTAAGAAAATTACCAATCATTCGAGCAGAAAAACTTGTGTGCAAAAGCTAAAGAATGCTGGTGTCCCGAGGGACAAGATTATTGATGTTACTGGACACCGTAATATTCTCAGCCTTAATTCATATGAAGGAGATGACGAGAATCAGGCAAGGGAACTGTCAAATATAATCAGTGGATGCAAGCAAACAAGTGATATTCAACAACAACCTGCTAACAGCAGCCCCAATAAGGATAGACTACCCCTTCAAGCCAGTTCTTCCAGCAACAGTTTCAGTACCATCAACAACTTTACAGGTCCAGTGAATTTCTATGGTGCATTTCCTGGCTTTCCAGGTCTATCTAATATGCCAGTGCCAACTCACCAAAGCACAGAGCCACCACATACATGGAAAAGGATCAGAGCTTCTGTACTCTCAGACTCAGATGAGGACTAGCTATTGCTGACTGCACAAAAACTTTAAATTTACACCTTTCTTGTATTCATTGTAGTTTTGCACTTTTTTAATGTGTGCATGTTTTGTACAGACTAAAATAATTAATTTTATTTTTTCTGCACTTTGTTAATTGCATTCTTTTCTTAATCTTTTCCATCTTTATTGTGTGTGTGTTATTTCTTTACACACTTTTATTTCTTGATATTGAAAACTGGATAGTTTCAAAATAATGGAATTCTAAATTTTTTGACCTTAAAGTTTTACAGTATTGTTATATTTATTATATTTATTAAATTCAATTGTGATAATGAAATTCATTTCTATTTGGACTACAGCATGTATTTAAAAATGAATTAAAATAAAAAAATTATTAAGATTTCAGTCTGTTTTTTATCAGAGACAGTTCCCATAGTTTTCCTTGCGAAGCTGTATTTCCTCACTAGCTATATAATTAATAAGTAAGAGGACTACATGCTTGTCCAATTTGGAAATAATTGGACAGCATGTAGTCCTATTACATATACAAACATAATGTGTTTTACCGTTCTCGTTGCCGTTGCCGTCGTCGTTGCTTAAGCTCCCTATTGCCGACCTGGGAACTTAGCTCTCGCCCGTTATTTTTGTTTTGTATTTGGATAGATAAATGTTGAGAATAGAATTGATACATGTACATCTTCATCTCCTTCTACGCCATTTCTTAAAGATTTGTCTAAATACAGGGCAAATTTTGCGAGCACAGAATACAAAAGCAACTAAATTTTTAAATCAACTGAACAGTAACAAAACTCACAGGTATATTCCCGCAAACCCGAAAACAATATATATACAGTACAGTCAACTCTCTCTCTAAGAAGGACACCCTTGGGACCGGTACTAAGTGTCTGTCTATGAGTGACGTCCGTCTTATAACCTGCGAGCAGTGAGTTTCTCCAGGCCGGACGCTATGATACGAAGGGAGACAAACCCATGCGAGCAAACGTTTGCTTTTCCATCGAGTATGCGCGTCCACGTGACGCCTACTTCAAAACGTCAAACAACGAGAACGTCCAAAACATTAGGTTTAATAATTAAAAAACAACAACTTTGCACGAGCATCACATTTTTGTACAATTCTTTGCCGTTTTGCACGACTACGTCGTAAAAATGCGTAACTGAACTTGGATGTGGTCTCTAGGAATTCAACTCCAGTTGGGTTCGCCTGCATTTGACAAGGTAAGTACTCGAAAACAAAGGCTACACAAGGTTTTATTAAATTGACCCCTGGTACGGTGGCTCGATCAAAGACGTAAACAGTTGCTTGAAATGGTTCCTCTCCCTTCGTAGCGTCTGGAGAAGCCACTGCTCGCACGGTATTCGTCTTATAGAGGGTCAAATAAAGGGAATAAAAAAAGACGGGGACCGACTCTGCGGGGGAGGGGGTGTTTACATGACACCAGAGCTACTTTCGCGAGCTCACTCTGGTTCCCTCTCGTGACTCTGTATTTGTTTGCTTACATGATACCAAAACAAAATTTCGTATACCACCGTATACCAAGAAAGAAATCTCTCTTTGTTACACTAAAAATACAGTCATATCACAGGTATATGTTCCCAAAAACACCCCATTGCCTTTCTGAGCAATGTTGAGTAACAAATTGATCAGGTTTTAACCATGCATATTGGGTGATTTGGCGTCAAGGTTGCTAAAATATTTGGCGACGGCCAATGCGCTCATGACCTCTTTTTTAGCTGGGTAGATGGTAATATTCACGCAAAATCACCTTGTTAAGGTCTCACTGGTAGATACAGATTCGCGGATGACCATTTCGCTATTCATTTACGACCATACAGTTCACCTATTGCGTTGGCTCCTCCACTTTTGCTATCACTTCTTTTTGCTCCATTTCCATCAGTTTGGTGTGTACTGTCTCCAAGAGCTGCTCGAAGCTTTCTTGGAGAGTGTATGACAGTTTCCAACGCTATCATATTTTTTAATGTGATAAGGTTCAGAAACGGATCCCAGACCTTGGAAAAAGCTTGCATATTTCTAAAATATTTGTGTGTCACTGAGGCCTGATATTTTGCAACGTTTAGTCGCGTTACTTTGTGTCGGCTTGACTTGGTCAATACTGTAGAAGTCGTGTTTGTGATGTTGGAACTGACCTTGGTTTACTAGTCTCGTTGAAGTTCCTGTTTGGGTTTTTTAACCAGAGGTTTAGTTTTCCTGTGGTTTACACACTCTTGCCGATCACAACCGTGTAGGTTCTGTCATACCAAAACATTACCCACACCGAGTTCACCGTCATTTTATTTCCACGGTCAGTTAACCCAAACATGTCCAGCTTTGGCAACAGAAGTTTGTAGAAGAAAGTTGGCGAGTAAGTGGAAGAGTTAGAAGATTAAGATTGTCAGCAGAAGTCGAAGAAGTAAAAAGGCAAGATTTAAATCTGATTCCTGGTACCTCATCGTGTAGCGAGCGAGTTGCTTGAACACACCCCCACATATTTTGGTGGAGAGCCCGTTATTTTGGTCGACAACGTTCTTATTTTTGTAAGCCTATTTTGGTGGAGAACTTTCTGCCTTTTCTGAGAATGGTTTGGTGAGAACAAGCGATAAGTGGTAGCAGCATTGGTAGTCTGTTGGGTCCCCATTGTTCTAGCAGCCTTCTGATTGGTGGAGAGGGGTAATCGAAAGGAAATCGGAAATATCTTAGAACGATGCTCGGGTGTGGGCGGAAGCCTTCGGAGAGGGTTCGGGTCTCTTCGGAACGGGGTCGCAATTATGTTAACGAGGGATGATGTCATGAGGCAAGAAGGAGAGACACAGCATGCACAAGGCAGAACGCAGGCGCAGTAACGAAAAACGTTGTGAATAAATGTGTTTAATCAAATTACAAGTATTATAAAGTCAGAGAAAAGTCAGAGATATTGGAATAACACTCGATCAGCCAGTCAAGAAGAAATCCATTTACCAATAAATCGAGAATGACGGGATTGCCTTGCCTTCCATTAACTGGATATCGGTACAATGGGATCGAAGGACCGTAATAGGCGCGCAGTAAATCTAAAATGAGTGCGATTCGAGCATCGTTGAATGTCTTTTCATTCTTGTTCTCTGTCACAACCATATCAATCTAGAAGAAAAAGGGTGTTTAAGAAATATTGCTTGAAGGTAAACGATTGTGAAATAGTCATTGACGTAAATAAGATTACCACTAATCCCCGAAAACAAAGGGCAAATGAATTGCAAAATAAAATAAACGTTCAAACGTACCGAGTATTGCTTGGTCTTTCGTCTGAAACAGTGCGGACAACCGTAAAAGTGAGGATATGGTTTTCGTTCCAATGCAGACGAAAAACGTTTGTAACCGGTGGAAAATGAAAATGCCACGAACATTGGAATGCCTGTTCTAAGGCAAAGGGGAAGGCGGGTAAATTCCGCATTCATTTTTTTCCTTTCGTCATTGGTCATAAAACATTGTCTCCAGAACATAATGAGAACTTGAACCTCGAAAGGTAGCACGTGCCGAACGGCTTGTTTTTGGGGTCTACTAAGCCCTTGTAGTTCATTGCTTCGTTATCAAAAACAGCACAAAGTGTCTTGCCATGTGCTCTATGGAAATACTAGGTGTGTGAAAAACACAAGGGAATAGGCTAAACCAATCGAGACTAAAAAAAGTCGCTGGGGAATCAAAATTAACCAATGAAAGAAAAGCCAACAGTTAGAAAACTAAAAAAAAGCTAAAACGAGGCTTGGGTGATCAATGGAAGGGGTCGGAAAGAGTAGTCAGTAAAACATATGATGCAATATGCAGTGAAAGGAATAAGAATATGTAATGTGTAAAAATATCAAACGCAAAATTACATGTTTAAAAATATCAATCACAAAATTACAAAATAAAGGAAATGGCAGCTGGTACAGAGAATATCTGTCATTTAAATAATCCAACAAAAACTCCAACATGTTCTTAATCCTCTGACTTGGCCTCTTGCCGTGTACAGGCAGTTCAAACAGCCGTATCTCGGAATGCGCTTGTCTGAATAAGTCCAAAATATGGGCCAGATTTGCATCATAGAGTTTGTCGTCGTCTCCTATAGCGACTATCATATCAATCTACAAGAAAAAGAACAAATCTTAGTGGTAAGCATGAAATAAAACTGAAGGGATATTGATGAACATACTTACCGACACTTGTTGTGTGTTCCGTCTGAAACAGTGCGGACAACCGTAAAAGCGAGGATATGGTTTTCGTTCCAACGCAGAGGGAAAACTTTTGTAACCGGTGGAAAATAAAAATGCCACGAACTTTGGAATTTCTGTTTCAAGGCAACGGGGAAGGCGGGTAAATTCTGCATTCATTTTTTTCCTTTCGTCATTGGTCATAAAACAATGCGTCCAGAACATAATGAGAACTTGAACCTCGAAAGGTAGCACATTGCCGAACGGCTTGTTTTTGGGATCCACTAAGCCCTTGTAATTCATTGCTTCGTTAGCAAAGACAGCACAACAGAGAGTGTCTTGCCATGTGCTTTAGCAAATGCTAGGTGTGTGAAAAACACAAGGGAATAGGCTAAACCAATAAAGTTGGAAAAAGTGGCAGGGGAATCCAAAAAGCACCAATGAAAGAAAAGCCAACAGTGAGGAAAAAGGAAAGAAGCATGAAATAAGCCTCATTTCGCTTTACCGTTGTACCTTGTTTCGCAATTGAAAATGATGTCCCTTCAAGAACTAAGCCTGAAAGCTGTGCCACACCCGGGGGAGCAAGCCAGAAAGTTTTTGCCGCCATGGCATACTGTACGTATTGCGCTGGAACAAAGGGAATTCAATGAAAGCATTGACAGGTTCAGAGAGGAACACAAAGTTCGTTTTCGGTACGTACTCATTGAATTGCATGTGTTAGAAGACTTAAACTGGACCCTGCCCTTGTATCCCAGCCACGTGTGGTGGCTACAGCGAAGTTAGCTAAAGGCGTGGATTGTTCTTTGTTTAGAGAGACGCTTATGGACATAAGGACATTAAGAGATCTTGACTGGACGTTATCCATGAAAATTTATTTTGCCAACTTTCTCCATTAATTTATACTAACGTTACAAATTGTAAAAGTATACCGAGGTGGAAACCAAAACGGAATGTGACCCGTGGCACTGTTTGTACGTTTTATGAACCGAGCGTACAGCAATGGAAATTAAAACAGACATTGTCCCGCGTATGCGTTAATTGCATTTAATATCCGTGCAATGGCAGATAGTTAAATCGGTAAAGTGTTTCAGTAATTAGTAGCTGTCGTTTAGGTCAATGTTAAAAACTAATTATGTATTTGTATGTAGATCGTCGCTTGACCTCATTCGACTGGTCACAGATGTCGAGTGGAGGCCCTCATTTACTGTCTGGTTTTTGAATTTCATTTAGAGAAACCCTGGCACTGCTACCTTTTGTCAGAGACCTAGAGTGGACACTGCGCATAAAAATTCTGTTACTGTCATTGTGAAAACGTGTCATTTTGTTGTTTATTGTAGAAGTGTTATGCAAACAATAAGAAGATGGAAAAAGATGAAGTATTGTCCATTCACAAAATGGCTGAGTTTTAACAAAAATATATGTAGTCATTGTGAAAGAATATTTGAGTTTGTTCTAACACTAGATGGTTTAATTTTGACGTGGAAATACGAAGAGGTAGACACAAATCGGGAACGTGAGACCCTTTTGAAATGGTATAAAGGGCCATAGATTATTCAAAGAATAGGACGGTAAACGAATGGTGTGTTGTTTATTTTGTAGACCAACACTTGTGGAACTGAGAGTGTTACCCCGTTGCCCCGTGACCTTGTGGGTATATTCGGGGGAGTCATGTACTAGTTGCAACCTAAGAATTGGACTATTTGGAATCTGTATTGAAGACTGGCTTCTATTTAGGATTCGGTCAGAAGACTTTGACCTGTTTGCAGCCTATGTCAAATTTTGTAGAGTGTATGCATCATTAATCGAAAGGTACCCCTTTGTATTACCAGAAGCACAATAGAGGAAATCGGAGAAAGAGCTTTTAGTTTTCACACCCAATGGGTTAATACAAGTACTGACGAACTGTGCGCCCACTGTTTAAGGACTTTAACTTCAAGACTAATGATTGATGACTATATTGATCTGAACTACTGGAAATATTTAAGGGCAATAGCCGAATATAGACGAAAAGCGCATGAAAATTGTTATGCATTGTATGTAACTTTATTTGAAGAATGGATTGAAATTGGCGGGGAAGTTTAGCTTCCACCACAAGTCCCGCTTGTAATAGGTATTTTAATAAAGAGTGTTGAAAGAGTGTAAAAGTAACTGTCTTCATAATAAAATGGGAAATATCAAATTAGGAAGGGAAAAAGAAAATAAGACTTAACGTACCAGGGAAAGCGAAAAGATCATTGCGTGCAGACAAAAAGAGGGAGTATTAGTCATTGACGTAAGTAAGATGAAGCGACTAATCCCCGAAAACAAAGCGTGAAAATTAAGTTCATTTCGCTAGTTCAGCGAAAGTAATGTCCCGCGTTTCAATTAGGAAGGGAAATAGTAAATCAGACTTAACATCACGTACCAGGGAAAGCGAAAAAAAAGCGAAAAGATGATTGCGTGCAGACAAAAAGAGGGAGTATTAGTCATTGACGTAAGTAAGATGAGGCGACTAATCCCCGAAAACAAAGCGTGAAAATTAAGTTCATTTCGCTAGCTCAACGAAAGTAATGTCCCGCGTTTCAATTAGGAAGGAAAATAGTAAATCAGACTTAACATCACGTACCAGGGAAAGCGAAAAAAAAAAAGCGAAAAGATCATTGCGTTCAGACAAAAAGAGGGAGTATAAGTCGTTGACGTAAGTAAGATGAGGCGACTAAACTCCGAAAACAAAGCGTGAAAATTAAATTCATTTCGCTAGCTCAGCGAAAGTAATGTCCCGCGTTTCAATTAGGAACGGAAAAGAAAATACGACAGTGATAAGACTTAACGTAGCAGGGAAAGCGAAGAAGCGAAAAGATGATTGCGTGCAGACAAAAAGAGGGAGTATTAGTCATTGACGTAAGTAAGATGAGGCGACTAATCCCCGAAAACAAAGCGTGAAAATTAAGTTCATTTCGCTAGCTCAGCGAAAGTAACGTCTCGCGTTTTTAGAAATAAGCAATTTGCTTGCCGGCAGAACGAAGGTGAAATAGTAATTGCGTCAGCAATCTTGGCAACAGTGAGTACGTACGTTAATGGAAAGAGCCTACCTCAGTAACAAAATTATTTATTACACGTGTACAATACGCTTCAGAGAGTTTGTACGCAAATGAAGCCTAAAACAGCTCAAGGGCCAATACTGCCTTTTGTTTCAGCGATTATAAAGGAACGACAATTTACCCACAATCGTTCATTCACTGCCAAGTGTCTCAAAGTCTTGAGCAATTAGCGATCACAACGAGTCAGCATTGTCAAAGTGTAAGTTCTAATTCAGCCAAGTTATTGCTTGAAAATGAACCAAGATTTATCAAATGAAGGTAAGATTGCTTAATTACCCGTTGCGTAAAACAAAGTGTTTAAAACGAAGCAGAAACGGGAGTGCTTTAATGCTGACGTATTAATTTATAGAGCTCATCAGCTGCAACGGGGAAGGTGTTCAAGGGCCAACCTCAATAGAAGCAATCGATGCCGACATTGAAGGTACATTTTGTTAATAATGTTTGGTGTATTATTAACAAAGCGTCAATAAAAAGTAATGTAGGCGAAAGTGTAAGTAAAATACAGAATTTTAACTGCGAACTGTGTGTAGGGATGCGTAAACAAAGTGAATGCAGAATATTATTTTTACGGAGCGAAGCATAACCTCCAACTAGGGTTAACGGTGAGCAAACTGTAAAAGTGTAGGTTTTTAAATTATAACCGCAAACTGAGTGTTGCATAGCGGAATGGTACATTTCAAGTAAAACACAGAAAAATAATGGCAATTCAAGCGTTTCGAAGTGTAAAGAACAAAATGTAGACTTAATTAGCAAAAACAATCAAGCGTTGATGCAGGCGTTTCGTTTTCATGTTTTATAGCCTTAATGAACGAAGATGATGAGGGTCTGTTGTCTGCCTTTCGCCGCTTCGAGCAACATGGAGGGAATCCACTTTTCCGAGCAGAATTTACACCAGTGGGAAGAAATAGATCGTTTCGTGGCATTGTAGACCAAAAGAAATATAGGCTTACTTTACAACAATTGCGAGATGCGCAAGATGAACAACTAGGGGAATCCATCAGCGAAGCTGTAATTCAGGGGTTGCAGCGGGTGGTGGAAAACGAGGGTTTCAACGTCCAGGATTATTCTTTGCTAGTCGCTGTCCATTCAAACTCATTCACTCATGTCTGGTCACAATCTGCCCGAAATGTCCCTTTAGAAGAATGGTTGTCTAATGGGGTTTACACCCGCGCTTGGCTGGAAGATTTAGCCAAAAAATTGAATTCAGCTCAAGTCATGGACCCCCAACGAGATGGCTTTTATGTCGAACTCACCTTTGTGAAACGGTTAGGTCGTGGAGGAAAGAACGGGGGTAAAAAAGCCAATCCTGGCCGCCATGCGTGGGAGAAATTGGTCAAGAAAAAGAGGTGTGTTGTGACCATCAAAAATAAAGACAAACTTTGTCTCGCCCGGGCAATTATGACAATGAAAGAGAGGGTGGACAATGGCTCCCAGTATCAGAATCTAAGGAAGGGAAGACCAATTCAAGAACGATTGGCCAAATTGTTGCATCGAGAAGCGGGTGTTCCCGAAGGCCCCTGTGGGTTTGAAGAATTAGAAAAATTCCAAGAGTATTTAGGACCACAGGGGTACCAACTCATCGTGGTAGAACCCAGCAAATGTTTAGTCGTCTTCAAAGACTCCACCTATAATGAAGCACCTCATGTGATTGGTCTCGTCAAGTACAATGGTCACTATGATGGGCTGACAAGTATTCCTGCCCTAATGAACAGATCCTATTATTGCCGCCATTGTGATCGAGGCTATGATGTAGAAAATTCGCGTCACCATAATTGCGAAGGGCAAAATTGTTGTGCCTGTCTCCGTCAAAATAAATCCTGTCCGAACTTTGCCACCTGGGTTAAGCCTACCATCCATTGTCCTGATTGCAATTGTATGTTTTATGGGCAAGATTGTTTTCAAGCTCATAAAACCAAAGGAGAGAAAAAAGGAGACCAGAGTATTTGTGACAGATGGAAGAAATGCCCACTCTGCTGTGCTGAATATCAAGTCATCCCCAAAAAACCTCACAAATGCTACCATGCAACATGTAGAAACTGTGGGGAATTTACGCATGTAGCTCACCGTTGCTACATTCAGCCCATTAAAGAAGCCCCTCCACAGCAACAGGATGACTTCTTTGATGACCCAATGAATTTTAATGATGACGACGATGACGAGAGAGGGCCCCCACCCCCTCCTGTCTTGAACTTTGCAGATATAGAATGTGCAATCTCCGAGGATCGCGTCTTTCAACCGAACCTTATCTGCTGGTCCAGTGAAGAGGATGAGGAGATTCATCATGCAAGAACCATTGAAGAATTCTTAGAAGCCTGTGAGGCACTGACAGAAGTCGAAGACGATGAACGACCCAGAAAAGTCATCACCTTTTTCCATAACCTCAGAGGCTTTGATGGGAACTATATTCTGGAAGCACTCTATGATCAAGGCCGAGCTGTAGAAAGACCCTTAACCCAGGGGGCTAAAGAAAACCTCATCGCTCTCGAGCCTCTAGGGGGATGGCATGGTAACCATATCAACCAAAGTACCATTGCTCTGGAATGGTTGTATTATCAAGACCATTTGCTAGGTGGAATGGGGCGTGTCCGCCACGTGAGAAACGGTGGAGAGGTGCAAGTCCTGACACCAGCAGAAATGATGTTCGTGGATGGTTTTGACCAAGTAACCAATACCATATACGAATTTTATAGCTGCTGGTACCACGGCTGTCCTCGTTGTTTTAAAAAACAAAGAAATGTTCGCCGCCATTGCCATAATGATCGAACCGTCCAAGAGGTATATGAAGCAACAGAGAGGAAAGCGGCATTCCTACGTCAAGCTGGCTATACGGTCGTGGAAAAATGGGAGTGAGACTTTCAAGAAGAAAAGAAGACCAACCCTGCCCTAAAAGCGTTCTTACAAGATCTAGAAATGGTCCCCCCCATCAATCCACGTGACGCCTTCTATGGAGGAAGAACGGGGGCTGTGGCATTACATTGTAAAGTGAAAGACCCCGATCTTATTAAATATTCAAATGTGACGTCACTTTACCCATGGGTAAACAAGTATATGGAGTACCCCGTCAGGTTCCCCCTCATCTATACGAATCCTAGGGATCAGGACATCGACCATTATTCTGGGGTCGCCAAAGTGGACATCTTGGCCCCCCAGTTTTTGTTACACCCTGTCCTCCCCTATAGAGCTGGTGGCAAGCTGACTTTCCCTCTCTGTGCTGCTTGTGTCAAAGAGGAGCAAGAAAAACCATGGTTAGAACGAACCAACATCTGTTCTCACACCGATCAAGAGAGAACCCTGAGAGGAACCTGGGCTACAATCGAATTACAGAAAGCCGTGCAGTTAGGGTATCGCATCCGAAAGATTCACGAAGTGTTTCATTTCCGCGAAGAGGATAGAAAGGTGGGGCTCTTCGCGGATTATGTAAACACTTGGCTTAAGATCGAGCAAGAATCGGCGGGATGGCCTGACGAGTGCAGGAGCCGAGAGGAGAAGGAGGCCTACCTGAGGGATTACAAGGAGAAAGAGGGAATCCAACTGGAGAACGTCGCCAAAAACCCGGGAAGGAAACAAGTGGCCAAGATGATGCTGAACAGGTAATGTAGTGTTAAACGTGTTGAAAAATCCTGCAACTCAAATAATAAGTTGCAGACAAAGTCTGCTGTTAAGAAACACACCCTGGGAGAAAACAGCATTCAAGCGTTTGACCCAAAATTAGAAGAAACTGTATGGATATGTTGCAGACAAAGTCTGCAATTTAACTACATTCATTGCAGACAAAGTCTACAATTTAAGAATCACTTATGGATGTGTTTGTCTGTTTTCTAGCTTCTGGGGCAAATTTGGTGAACGAAGCAACAAGCCACAGACTCATGTCATCAGAAGTGCCTATGCCCTCTATGCTCTGCTGAATGACCCCTCCTTCCATATCAGTAACATCCGAATCTGCTCGGAGGATGTGTTAGAGGTCGTCACCACCCGCGCCGAGGAGGAAGTAGAACAAAATGTGAAAACCAATATATTTATAGCAATTTACACCACCGCGCATGCGCGACTTAAACTTTACTCAGCATTAGAAACTCTTCAGGAACGTGTCCTTTATTATGACACGGATTCTGTTATTTACCAATGGCGTCCTGGGCAGGTAGAAATTCCCCTAGGTGTTTTTTTGGGTGAATTTACAGACGAAACGGACGAGGATCCCATCATAGAATTTGCTAGCGGGGGGGCTAAAAATTATGGGTATCTCACAAGAGGAGGGAAAGTTGAATGTAAAGTCAGAGGGTTTTCTCTGAACTACAGAAATAAGTTGCTTTTGAATTTTTATGCTTTACGTGATAACATTTTAAAAGAGTTGGATGACCCTCAAGAGGAAAGGAGAAATATCACGTTGGTTGATAAGAATTTCTTTGACCGTGACCAAACCAACAAAAGAATTCGATTGATTGATAGGGAGAAAAAGTATGGGTTGGTGTTCGATAAAAGAGTGGTCGATAGGGCCACTCGAAAGTCCTATCCCTATGGATACGCTCGCATCGGAAGCGAGGTCGACATGCTATCAGAGTTATAAATAGGGTTCTTCTTTTTGAAGCATTGTACATAGGCTAAGTGTGTTTGGCTTTTGTTTTTGGGCGCCATTGTCGAAGTGTTGAAACATGAACTCGATAGAGAGGTTTAATGTAGAAATAAACTAAGTTCGAGATACAATCTCTGTGTGATGTTATTGTTGTTGTTGGGTCAGGGTATAAATAGAGGGTGGACAACCAAGATGGACCCCTACTGGGAAGACATTGAAATCACCCTCAAAGAATTGGATGGCAGTCTGGTCAAGGTTCAATCGGAAAGTCAATGTGTGCTCATGTTACAGTTTAGACTAGATTAACACGAGACAGAGACATTGTGTGCACATTCTTTGTTTATTGAAATAAAAAAAACACACGCAGATTACAATTTGAGTTTCTTCTTGGCTTGCATGATTTTCTTGACGACTTTCTCGGTCATGGTCNGAGGGTTTTCTCTGAACTACAGAAATAAGTTGCTTTTGAATTTTTATGCTTTACGTGATAACATTTTAAAAGAGTTGGATGACCCTCAAGAGGAAAGGAGAAATATCACGTTGGTTGATAAGAATTTCTTTGACCGTGACCAAACCAACAAAAGAATTCGATTGATTGATAGGGAGAAAAAGTATGGGTTGGTGTTCGATAAAAGAGTGGTCGATAGGGCCACTCGAAAGTCCTATCCCTATGGATACGCTCGCATCGGAAGCGAGGTCGACATGCTATCAGAGTTATAAATAGGGTTCTTCTTTTTGAAGCATTGTACATAGGCTAAGTGTGTTTGGCTTTTGTTTTTGGGCGCCATTGTCGAAGTGTTGAAACATGAACTCGATAGAGAGGTTTAATGTAGAAATAAACTAAGTTCGAGATACAATCTCTGTGTGATGTTATTGTTGTTGTTGGGTCAGGGTATAAATAGAGGGTGGACAACCAAGATGGACCCCTACTGGGAAGACATTGAAATCACCCTCAAAGAATTGGATGGCAGTCTGGTCAAGGTTCAATCGGAAAGTCAATGTGTGCTCATGTTACAGTTTAGACTAGATTAACACGAGACAGAGACATTGTGTGCACATTCTTTGTTTATTGAAATAAAAAAAACACACGCAGATTACAATTTGAGTTTCTTCTTGGCTTGCATGATTTTCTTGACGACTTTCTCGGTCATGGTCTTTTTCCCGGGTAAACGATCAATGGCTTTGATCATGACGTCATCCGCTTTCCATTTATCTTGCAAATTCTTTGCTTTGCTATAGGCAATGTCATGATGCATAGCAATACGGTCAAATCTATTTTTTGGCTTGTCCCCGCGTTTCAAACGTTTGGCTAGTTTCGTGCCAGGGCCAGCATAATTATAGCCACCAGGAATGTGAAACTCCATGCCTGTTTTCTCAATGGCTTTTTGAAAATCAAATTTTCCCCCACGCTGTCTCCTTGTACGGGGTCTTGAACGTTTCCGTTTACAAGTCTTTGCCATGGAGTTTGCGTCTAGTAGGAGTACCAAAGGGTTTCCAGCCAGGGGCTGGGGCTAACGATTTCGAAGCTTTTTCGGTGGCCTTTTTCAGCACAGTTTGTTTTAAACCTTCTTTTTTTCGTTCCTCACTCTGGGATTTGCGTGTACGTCTTCTTATGGCTCTGAGACTGTCTCTGGCTAATTCACCCGGCGTTTTCCAAGGCGATTCGC